CGTGAACTTGGTCTATATTCGTACTGCTTTTGCTGCGAAGACCTCCGTTGTTGCCGTCCTTTTTGACCTGGAAAAGGCTTACGACACCACTTGACGGTATCATATTCTATCTCAACTTCATTATTTTGGCCTTCGTGGTCATCTCCCTCTTTCTCCGCAGCTTCCTCTCTCGTCGTTCCTTTCAGGTGCACCTTGGTACCGCTCTCTCTGCCTCTTTTCAGCAATACGAAGGTGTGCCCCAGGGTAGTGTTCTGAGCACTACTCCTTTTCTGGTTGCCCTCAATGGTCTTCTTTCCTCTCTTCCTTCAGGTGTCTTCTCCGCTCTGTCGATGATCTTACCCTTTACTGTCAGGGTGATGATTCGCCTCTCCTTCAGCGCCGGCTTCAACTTGGAATTGATGCCGTGTCATCTTGAGCCACCGATCATGGCTTCAAGTTCTCTACTTCTAAGACTTGTGCCACGACTTTTACGCGGAAACGGGTCGTTCTTCGTCCCTCTTTGTCACTTTATGGTCATCCCCTTGAGTACAAAGATTCCGCGAAGCTTTTGGGGTTATTCCTTGACACTCGTTTGTCTTGGTCTCCCCATATCTCTTGCCTCCATGTTGAGTGCTCTAAGGCTCTTACCGTCCTTCGGGTCTTGTCCCATACTTCTTGGGGGGCAGATAGGCGCGCACTCCTTGCTTTACATTCCTCTCTCGTCCTGTCTAAGCTCGATTATGGTTGCCCTGCTTACTCGTCTGCTTCTCCTTCTACTCTTCGCCGTCTTGATGCTTTGCACCATACTGGGTTGCGCCTCAGTTCTGGTGCCTTTCGTTCGACTCCCGTCCTTAGCTTGTATGTTGACACTGGCTTCCTGTCTCTCCAAGACCGCCGTGATCGCTACTGTCTTCGCTATCTTGCGCGGTCCTTACAACATCCTTCCTCTCGCCTCTGTCGTGCTTTAACTTTTACCTCTCCTGCGGTTCCCGTTCCTCTTCACCACCTCCCTCTTTCTGTCCGGTTATCTCGCCTACAGGACACTCTCCGTTCGTATTTCTAATGTTTCTCCTCGTGTTCCTTCTTTGCCCCCGTGGAGAGTCCCTCTTCCGCGGTTTTGTACATCTTTCACCCGTATCACTAAAGCTTTTACCCCTCCTACGGTTTTAAAACTCCTTTTCCTTGAGCACTTTTCTTCTCACTCCCGCTCCGTTTCTGTCTTCACCGATGGGTCTAAGTCTGCGGACGGTGTTGGCTACTCTGTTGTTTTTCCTGATCGCACTTGTGTGTCACTTAACTCCGGAGACTAGCATCTTTACAGCGGAGCTTTATGATATTCTGTATGCTCTTCGTCTCCTGCTTTCTCGTTGTCAGTCTTCCTTTGTAGTTGTTGTTGACTCTCGTAGTGCCCTCGTGGCTCTCGGGTCCTTTAATCCGGTTCATCCAGTAGTTGTCGATCCAGCATTGGCTGTTTCTTGTTCACAGTAAATTTAAGTCGGTTGAGTTTTGTTGGGTTCCCAGCCATATTGATGTGTCTTTAAATGAGCTTGCGGATGCTGCCGCCAAGGAAGCTGTCCGCTCTTGTCCCGTCTCTCGTAAAGGTATTCCGTATTCCGACTTTTACCCGGTTATCCATTCCTCCGTCCTTACCCGTTGGCAGGCTTCTTGGTTGTCTGTTACTGGTAAGAAACTACGTACTCTTAAATGTTGTTTCCTCGTGGCCGTCCTCCTTCCACCGTAACTGGTGGTGGGAAACGGCTCTGGCGAGGTTGCGTATTGGCCATACTCGCTTAACCCATGGTCACTTGATGGAGCGCCGCCCTGCTCCTTATTGTCCTAGTTGCATTGTCCCTCTTACGGTCGTGCATGTCCTTCTTGAATGTCCTGACTTCCAGGACGAGCATGTGTCTTGCTTTCCGACCGCCCCTCGCGGTCACCTGTCCCTCAATAGAATTCTTGGTGACTCGGATACTTTTGATATCGTTCGCCTTATGCGTTTTTGTTCTCGTATTGGCATCCTTGGTGATATTTAGCGCCCTCTGATTATTTTGCGCATTTGATGGTGCTACATAGCCTTCCCGGTTTGGTGCCTTCTTTTGATAATTACTTACTTACGGGAGACATCTCCCGTCACGCAGGGTGCAGTTGCACCTCCACAGATCTCTAGTATCAGCTCTTGATACTGGTAATGGCTCCAAAGGGCCACCACTTACGGGCTATTCATGCCCGTGCCACCTTTTGGGTGGCTTAATCTTCATCAATCAATCATTGATCTATCAACCATCTATCCACCACTCTCCCTTCTCTCAGGAAATATATTACGAATCACTTAAACAAATGTCTAAGAAATTAAATTATGATAAACATCTCCTGCTAATTTGAACATCAACATACTAATTTCATACTTAACTAATTGAAAACTATTAAAATTGGTGTTTATATCTTCGAATATTTCTTATCGCATTTAGGCTGGTCAGGACAGGCCTAAGTAATGTCTGTCCCGTTCCTTAGACCATTCCTCCTGAAAATTTGAGTGAGGCTAGCACTCCATCTTTGGTCTGATATCCTCTCTTATGGTCATAAGACTCGTACCAGAAACTGTTGAGGGCCACAAGGTTTCAACACTACAAACCAGACATCACGGGGTTGATCTTGTCGAGGCTTTTAAAATAATGAACAATTTTGAGGATGTTGATCCACACAACTAATTGAGAAGGTCACATCTCCTGTGCCAAGCGAGGACGAAGGGCTCACCATAGTCCGTGCTGCTTGGAACTTTTTCCCAGTAGCAGAGTCTAAAACGACAAAAGGTCAGCTGTAACACAAACGAGAACCAACGGTTTCAAGCTCAACAAGACTAAATGTAGGACAGAAAACAGGAGATGCATTTTCATCCGAAGTATTATAAACCCATAGAACCGCTTACCCGCCGAAGCCGTAGATGCCAAAATACGGCTGAATTTCAAAATCCAACTTGATAAAAACAGAAACCTTTGGCAAGCAGCCGGCTTCCTGTTCTCGTAGAGGCCACAAGTGGCCCTCGGATACATTAAGGTAAATAAAATAAAGGTGGAAGGTCATGGTGGTGTGAAAGAGGTGGTGGTGTGAAATGCAAATCCTGGTCGGGGAGGATTTACTGGGCGCAATTCCTTAACTGTAGCCTCTGTTTAACGCAACAGTAAAATGTGTACTTGGATGAAAAAACGATTCTTCGCGGCGGGGAGCGTATTCCAGGGACCATAGGATTAAGGACTTGCCCGAAACGCTACGCGTACTAGTGGCTGTACAAGAATGTAACAACTCTTGTATATATCTAAAAAAAAAAAAAAAAAGACAAATGAGATAGGCCTTTTCACACCTATCCCTGGCATCTGTACCCTAACTAAGACTACTGTTTTTCCTTGTATATCGTGATATATTGCAATATTCAAATGGGTACACCCGCCACAGGTCAAGTTAATTTAACTACAATGTGTTGACCAAATCACACACTAGAAGGTGAAGGGATGATGACGTTTCGGTTCGTCCTGGACCATTCTCAAGTAGACAGTCGACTTGAGAATGGTCCAGGACGTACCGAAACGTCGTCGTCTTTTCACCTTCTAGTGTGTGGTCTGGTTGTAACACTGTAAGGGGTTTGGTTTAGTTTATTTAAAATATATATAGAATATGAGTCAGAGACAGGGATTTGGGAAGGCGCCAGTTGTCTGCCGGAGATCTCACACCTCTAAAGAGTTAATGACCCCAAGTGACCTGAGGTCAGATCATGTGAATTTCACCTTGCTTCTGCTAATCTCATAAGTGGAGCCTGGTAGCCTTCAAACTTGCCGACGTTTAAGGAGTGGCTTGGTAGAAAGCCGGAGGCTATCTACTTGTGGGCGGAGTTAGCTACTAGGTTCCCCAATAAATACTCGGAGAACTATCGATTCGAGAGCATTTTAAGCATAGAGCAATAGGAGACCAGCCAGGGGAGCAGAGCAGAGGCCAGCCGTCGAGATAGGCCGTCACCAGACGGGGGGTGACGCTGCTTGAAAATTGCAGACTCCCCCCCCCTCTCTATTCAACTTAGACTCAGTCCTCGGTGAGTGAACATTTAGGTGACTTGGTCGTGTTTTACAAGTGTTGTGTGATGATCAGGGGCAGTCATTTGTAGTGTTCTCAGATTCTTGGAGGATGACTCACTTTGAATATTAATCTTTAACATTTTAATTGGATTGCTTAAGTTATGATACTTATCATGAAAAATATAATTGTTGAATTTATTATTTAAATGGACTTTATTTTGTTCCCTAGAGATTTTGAGTTGAGGTGAGAAAGCCTCTGTGGTTACTGGTTTCATGGTTTAGAATGAGTACATGATAAAGATGGGACCATACTAATAATGATCTCTTGATAACATCTTTGGTGAATATTGTGATACAGACAAGTTCCATTCCTTGTCTTGTATGTAATGATCATGAATGGATGGTGGCAGCATTTCGTCTTCTACTATCTACTTCTACTAGCTACTCTTCTACTTCTACCTATCTACACCTCTCCCTCCACCCCTCTCTGAACTCTCACTTTCAACTAATGACCCTCCTCGCTCCTCCCACCTCCCTACCTCTCACCCCAAAATCTACACTAATTACTTCACTATTCATTTCTTTCCTTTCGTTTTCTCTTATACGTTTGTGGCAATGATTATGTATTCTAGAGTTCTCTCTAGAGTTTCGGGTAACTGATCAAGTCTCGGCGCCTTGTAGTCTTAGCACCTAGGTAGTCAAATACCTAGGTTACAAGGTGTTGAACGAGAGAGGTTGCCTTAGGAACTCTGGAGGTGCTCTAGAATAGTTAGCTAACTGGGGACGGGATAACGGACTAGAGAGAGCTGTTTCCCCCGGCCTCGTTAGTTAACTGGGGGGTGGAATAATGGACAAGATAGAGCTATTTCCCCCACCCCCCGTTACATGGTCAACATACTTCAGCCACGTTATTGTGACTCACCGCCTGCAAACTACAATGTATTTCATTTATAATAGAGCGCGTGGGACTCTACACGATGGAGGTGTCCAGCAATATTGAACTCTCCGTGATGACTCCTGACGACTTCGAGGAGACTATAACCCTCCTGAGGGAACAGTACTGCTACAGGAACCCTCTGGTAAGACGCGCCTCCGTCGCCCCTCACAACTCTTAGTGTTGTATTCTAACCTTAATTAGGGCGTTATTATTTTGATCTGTAATGCAATTAAAGTTAGACTAGTATGTTTATCGAGACAAAATAAAATACAACTCAAAGGGATAGTTGCTTATGCTATTTCTACCCCTCCTGTAACGCAATATTTTGATAGCTGAGCAGAATACCAAGAAGAGATTAGAGTTTATTGGTGATTATCTTTTGTAGGTAATAATTATCATTTATCATATACGCAGGACTGGTGGTGATCAACCCCCACCGTAATTTGTATGACATTTTCAGATGACTGAATTACATTGTGTGCAACCTTTTGGTTATATTGACAGGGGAAGTAAGTACTCGCCTAGTTGTGCTTGCGGGGGCTTAGGCTCTTTGGTCCCGCCTCTCGAGGCAGCATCTGGGATGCTTTTGGACTTTGGTTCGAATCCTCGACACGGCCCTTGTGGATTTGTTCTTACCCCCACCCTCGTTGCCCTGGCTTCATCCTCCCTCCCTTCGCCTTGACCTTACCTCGGTTAGGGAGAGGGGGGAGGTAAGGGGTGGTGAGGTTCCCTCGCCTCCCCACCTTAACCATGGTAGCAGGTGGTTTCTCACTCGCCCTTACCCCGGTCGGCCGAGCGGACAGCACGCTGGACTTGCGATCCTGTGGTCCTGGGTTCGATCCCAGGCGCCGGCGAGAAACAATGGGCAGAGTTTCTTTCACCCTATGCCCCTGTTACCTAGCAGTAAATAGGTACCTGGGTGTTAGTCAGCTGTCACGGGCGGCTTCCTGGGGGTGGAGGCCTGGTCGAGGACCGGGCCGCGGGGACACTAAAGCCCCGAAATCGTCTCAAGATAACCTCAAGATACCCCCCATCCCCCTTACTCGGGTAGAAGGGTGGTAGGCATACCAGTAGGCTGGTATGCCTACCAGTCTATTGTAACACTGCACAAGTGTAATATAAATTATCAACGTTACACTTACAAAAACCCGGTACCTTGCTGGTACACTTACACTTACGCAATATTCATGTACAGTGCAGGGCGCTTGGAGTGAAAAAAGGGGAAACGAACCAAGAGCCGCTGACCACACTCATCAGGAAGTGTTTGGCGTCAGGTCTATCAGTCAGCGCACGGGACAAGACGTCTCAAACACTCGCTGGAATCTTCCTCAATTTACCACAAGACGTGGACGAAACCTCGGAGGACGACGACGTTGAGACGGTAAGCATATAAATGTATACAAGAGTGGATATTCCCCTTAATACTATAATGAGCTAATATAAATTCTATGTGTAAAAGTGTGTGTGTGCGAGGCTGGAGGAGAGGCGCCTGCTGCTAGACTCATTAAACTTTGTAGTATTAGTGATTGATGATCCAACCCTCAACACCACAAGATGGCGATGACAACGTTTCGGTCCGTCCTGGACCATTATCAAGTCGACAATCGACTTGATAATGGTCCTGGACGGATCGAAACGTCGTCGAATCTTCATCTTCTGATGAGTGGTTTGATCATCATGTCTTCAGCCACGTTATTGTGACTCATCGTCTGCAGTATTAGTGGTTATTTTATCGGTAGTGTCATAGTCGGCGGCGTCCTGAGGCCCCCATGAAGCAGGACACGGCTCCAGTGACCCTCCTTCACCAAGTTTGTGGGTGGGAAATGTTCAGCGCAGAGTCTATGTATTTTAGCATTAGTTTAAATAATAGTGAATTAAGATACTGATTTTTATGACATGTTCAGATGACTGAATTACAACCTGTGTGCAACCTTTTGGTTACATTGACAGAAGTACTCGCCTAGTTGTGCTTGCGGGGGTTATGCTGTGACTCTTTGGTCCCGTCAATCAACTGGAGTACAGATTGCCGAGCCTACTGTGTGTGTGTGTGTGTGTGTGTGTGTGTGTGTGTGTGTGTGTGTGTGTGTGTGTGTGTGTGTGTGTGTGTGTGTGTATGTGGGCGGGGGGGGGGAGATGTGGGCAGGGAGGGATCGAGGAGATAGCGGAATGGCGTGTGTGCGCTGCGAGGAGACAAAGTGTGTGTTTTAGGAAATCGGTGAAGTGTTAATGGGGTGAGGGAATACATGAGGGCATGTTTATTTGGGTTTTGTTGGATGGGAGGAGGTGGAGAAGACCCTGAGGTCTGCCAGGTACCCTATCTTGTTGTATACCTTCAATAGGACTAAGTATCAGGATTTAAGTATCTCAATTACACGGTAACATAACAGTTAAATCTGTTTTATTAAGCTTCTCTTGGTTATATCTTTCCACTTTCTAGCCTAAAGATCTCCAACTTGAACCTCAAATTTTCTAGCGAGTTTTTCTGTGGTGTTGTCTTGCCCTTGCTGTTAGAATTACTCATGTCATACAGTGCAGTTTGTCACTCCAACAAATTTACATAAATTTTATACTAAAGTCAATCCATGTTGGTCACATAGTAGGCATACGTCAATCCCGTGGGGTTATGGAGTGTCTAGTTGTTGTAGTCTAGTTGGATACAATACCTGCTGTGGCTGTGAAGGCCAACCCGAGAATGACAGTCCCGACTGCAGCGAGCGCAGATAAACGCTGAAGCGGGTGCGTCTGACAGTGGTCGAGACCTCCTCTGAAGTCTATTATCCTCCGCCTGCCTCTTCAGTTCATCCTCGAATTGCTGGAGGCAATTGAACAAAAAGGAGGCCTGGTCGAGGACCGAAATCATCTAAAGATAACCTCTCAACATGTAGAGTAAACAGTGAGCCAAAGTTCTGTGGCAGCACATCTTCTAGACTGTATCTACCATAGAAGCTGGAACTGGAACCACAGCTGCAGATAGTGTGAACCTTTGAGTGTACAGTAATACCGAGTACAGTAGCCTACTCTACCTGCTCTAGCGTTCACTGAAGGATTATTAAAATCAATCTTATGGTGGGACTGAAGTTTCTGCGTGGTAATAAAAATCACATTATCAGTTGAACTTTCAGAACGCACAGCGGAACTACTGATTCTGGGTGGATTGGATGAACAGGCAATCCTATTAATGTTTGGATTGGAGGAGGTATGTAAGGAGGAGAGCTTAGCGCTCCTCCTTTACGACCCTGACACCACGCCTTTGGACATTATGATATTTAGCAGTAAGAATGGAAGCAAAGCAACTATGGGATTAAATATGGAGAACATGAGGTCAAACCGTATGTGTGTTATGAGGGACTTAAAGCAGTTGACTTTACTAAAAATAAACAAAACGGGAAATACGGAAGTGGTGGTGGTGTGGGTGTAGGGGGGGGGGTGTGGGTGTAGTGCAGGTTGTGGGGGGGGGGGGTGGTGGTGTGGGTGTAGTGCAGGTTGTGGGGGGGGGTGTAGTGCAGGTTGTGGTGGTGTGGGTGTAGGGGGGTGGTGGTGTGGGTGTAGTGCAGGTTGTGGGGGGGGGTGGTGGTGTGGGTGTAGTGCAGGTTGTGGGGGGGGGGTGTAGTGCAGGTTGTGGTGGTGTGGGTGTAGGGGGGGGGTGGTGTGGGTGTAGGGGGGGGGGTGGTGTGGGTGTAGTGCAGGTTGTGGGGGGGGTGTAGTGCAGGTTGTGGTGGTGTGGGTGTAGTACAGGTTGTGGGGGGGTGGTGGTGGTGTGGGTGTAGTGCAGGTTGTGGGGGGGGGGGTGTAGTGCAGGTTGTGTGGGTGTAGTGCAGGTTGTAGGTGGTGGTGGTGTGGGTGTAGTGCAGGTTGTAGGTGGTGGTGGTGTGGGTGTAGTGCAGGTTGTAGGTGGTGGTGGTGTGGGTGTAGTGCAGGTTGTAGGTGGTGGTGGTGTGGGTGTAGTGCAGGTTGTAGGTGGTGGTGGTGTGGGTATAGTGCAGGTTGTAGGTGGTGGTGGTGTGGGTGTAGTGCAGGTTGTAGGTGGTGGTGGTGTGGGTGTAGTGCAGGTTGTGGGAAGCTGGGGGTGGTGGTGGTGGTGTGGGTGTAGTGCAGGTTGTAGCGGGGGTGGGGTGGTGGTGTGGGTGTAGTGCAGGTTGTAGCGGGGGTGGGGTGGTGGTGTGGGTGTAGTGCAGGTTGTAGCGGGGGTGGGGTGGTGGTGTGGGTGTAGTGCAGGTTGTAGCGGGGGTGGGGTGGTGGTGTGGGTGTAGTGCAGGTTGTAGCGGGGGTGGGGTGGTGGTGTGGGTGTAGTGCAGGTTGTATGAAGCGGTGTGGGTGTAGTGCAGGTTGTAGCGGGGGTGGGGGGGGGTGTGGGTGTAGTGCAGGTTGTATGAAGCGGTGTGGGTGTAGTGCAGGTTGTAGCGGGGGTGGGGGGGGGTGTGGTGTGGGTGTAGTGCAGGTTGTATGAAGTGGTGTGGGTGTAGTGCAGGTTGTAGGAAGCGGGGGGGGGGTGGTGTGGGTGTAGTGCGGGTTGTAGGAAGTGGTGTGGGTGTAGTGCAGGTTGTAGGAAGCGGGGGGGGGGTGGTGTGGGTGTAGTGCAGGTTGTATGAAGCGGTGTGGGTGTAGTGCAGGTTGTAGCGGGGGTGGGGGGGGTGTGGGTGTAGTGCAGGTTGTATGAAGCGGTGTGGGTGTAGTGCAGGTTGTAGCGGGGGTGGGGGGGGGTGTGGGTGTAGTGCAGGTTGTAGGAAGTGGTGTGGGTGTAGTGCAGGTTGTAGGAAGCGGGGGTGGGGGGGGGTGTGGGTGTAGTGCAGGTTGTAGGAAGTGGTGTGGGTGTAGTGCAGGTTGTAGGAAGCGGGGGGGGGGGTGTGGGTGTAGTGCAGGTTGTAGGAAGTGGTGTGGGTGTAGTGCAGGTTGTAGGAAGCGGGGGGGGGGGGGGGGTGGTGTGGGTGTAGTGCGGGTTGTAGGAAGTGGTGTGGGTGTAGTGCAGGTTGTAGGAAGCGGGGGGGGGGGGGTGTGGGTGTAGTGCAGGTTGTAGGAAGCGGGGGGGGGGGTGGTGTGGGTGTAGTGCGGGTTGTAGGAAGTAGTGTGGGTGTAGTGCAGGTTGTAGGAAGCGGGGGGGGGGGTGGTGTGGGTGTAGTGCAGGTTGTAGGAAGCGGGGGGGGGGGGGTGGTGTGGGTGTAGTGCGGGTTGTATGAAGCGGGGGGGGGTAGTGCAGGTTGTATGAAGCGGGGGTGGGGGGGTGTGGTGCTGTGGGTGTAATGCAGGTTGTATGAAGCGGGGGGGGGGGTGCTGCGGGTGTAATGCAGGTTGTATGAAGCGGGGGGGGGGGTGCAGGTGTAGTGCAGGTTGTATGAAGCGGGGGGGGGGTGTAGTGCAGGTTGTATGAAGCGGGGGGGGGGTGTGTAGTGCAGGTTGTATGAAGCGGGGGGTGGTGGTGTGGGTGTAGTGCAGGTTGTATGAAGCGGGGGGGGGGGGTGGTGTGGGTGTAGTGCAGGTTGTATGAAGCGGGGGGGGGGTGTGCTGTGGGTGTAGTGCAGACTGTACGCAATGTTGTTGTATATATAGTGTGTAAGACAGATCAAAGAGACTTTTAAGTTGTATATCTTGGTTATATTTATAATTGACTTCGTGGGTTTTTTTCCGGGTTGATGCCCCGCCACCTTATGACAGGAGGTAACGTCTAAGGTGTTCCGTGTTCTGAAGTTACTTGCTGCCGGCACACACAAAGTCTTCCAGGAGATGAACGTTAAAGTGGTGTTGGAGTTGTTTACTCTGTGCGTCCATGAAGACTATGGAGGACAAGGCCTCGGGAGCAAGCTGACTGAGGTGAGCCTTTGACCAAAATGTTGATGTTTGATGATCATGTAGCATCAACCATCAAAATGTTGATGTTTGATGATCATGTAGCATCAACCATCAAAATGTTTGATGTTTGTGCTAGATGAGGGAATGTCATGTATTATCATATTTTGAAAACGGCCTCACAGATCTTTGTGTATAGAAGCTAAACAAAATGTAAAAACTTGTGTCAATGGATGTTCATGATGAAATTTTATGTTTTAGAAATCGTTGTTGCTGGGCGAGGAGCAGGGATATGCTGTGGCAAGTGTTATGTGCACTAACAGCCTGACGGAGAGGATCTGCGCGCGTTTTGGGTTTGATACCGTGAAGACGCTTAACCTAATTTCTGTTGCTGATAAGTTGGGCAATGATATCTGCCTCATACCTGGTGAAACTGACTTAAAAATGATGATAAAAATGATTTCCAGCTAAACATCCCACCTCAAGACTTCACCTCGTTAATATCCAATACAAAATGCATGGTAATTAAGCGCTTAATATGCTGAAGTACTAATAATTAAGAACTCGGTGGACAAAACGAAGTCTGGCACCAACGAGACTGAAGTTAATAAATAAATAAATGTTTATTCAGGTAAAGTGCATACATACAAGAGGTTTTACAAAAATTGATAGATTTATAGATAGAGCTAGTACATACAATGCCTGAAGGCACTATTACGCAAAGCGTTTCGGGCAGGGTTTAAGTTAGTTTAGGATAATGTAAATAAAAAAAAAAAAAAAATCAAATAAAAAAATGAAATAAAAATTCCAAAGTATCACTTACTATTTAACATTTGTAATAATGAGGAATAGTGAAATAAATCTTCCCAAAGGAACAGGAAAGGTAAGGTATAGAAAAAAAACACCATGGTTCAAACTTCACGGTTAACATCACAAAATAATCGGAAAAAATATATAAACGAGCCGTCCCTGGCATTGTACATTACAACTATGGCATATGAACATCCCTACAGTATCTCCTAAAGTATACTTGTGTCTACCGGTGGGTATGACAAAAAAGCGAAGATACTTAAAGGGGTTGCCCCCCCCCCCCCCTCCCTGTCTAGCTCGTTGATGCCGTGAGGGGGCTTGATCATCAGCATCATCATCACACTCCATGGCTGCCACCATGGAGTGTGATGCTCCATGGGGCCAGTTCTGTCCTTTTGTGGCCTTATGCTCCTGTCGTCACAAATTTTGCCGGACACCTTTTCCTTTTGTTTCGTTCCCCCCCCCCCTCTTCTTTTCTGATTGTCGTTTCTCCACTGACCTTGTGGCTGTTTTATTCATTCTTTTGGCCTTCTTTTCCCCTCCTTGGTGCCTCCTTGCCGTGGTGAGGGGCTCCCGTACACCTCCCTGGGACCGGTGTGGGTTGCCTTTGCCCCCTCTTTGGGTGGTGTACGTGCTGAAGGGCATCATGTAGGGGCCATGTGAGCCATCGGACGACCCGCTGGAGGGGTCGCCTGTGAGAGGCCGCCCTGAGTGGATGGTTGGGTGTCCAGGCTAGGGCGATCGGGGGACTGGGGTCTTATCACCAGTGTGGGAGAATGGACGATGTAGTAGGACTCCCCTGTTGAAAAGTGGGAGCACCGCTGGGGACGACGCACCCTGCACTGGCCCGCGCTCGGCCTCCCTGGCTGCCCTGGTACCTTGTTGATGGGGTTCTGGGAGTTCTTCTACTCCCCAAGCCCGGCCCGAGGCCAGACTTGACTTGAGAGTTTGGTCCACTAGGATGTTGCTTGGAGCGGCCCGCAAGCCCGATTGGTCCGGCACTCCTTGAAGGAAACAATCTAGTTTCCTCTTGAAGATGTCCTCGGTTGTTCCTGTAATATTTCTGATGTTCGCTGGTAGGACGTTGAAGAACCGTGGACCTCTATATGGATGACGGCACGACTTGTCTTACCCAGGCTCATGGGGTGGGTGACCAGGCCCCTGAGTCGGACCGTCCTGGAAGGCCGGGTTCTGTAGCCCCCGTTACAGGGCCCGGTTTAGGCCCAGACCAGACTCTTCCTCCCTGCTCCCCTCCCTCCTCTGTTGTTGGGTCGAGCCCCAATCCTGCTGTGGTGACAATGGATGTCACCACAGCAGGCGTGGATGTCACCTCGCTTCAGCCTCGTCCCCTTGCACGGCTCCATATCTTATTGTGACTACTGTGCCTTTTGACCCGTCTCTCTCTAAAGGTTCTCATCGCCGTCCCCGCCACAGCTGCTCTTGTATGCTCCCTTCCCATACTAATTCGTACCATGGTTTGTTTGGTCCTGCTACGTGGACTAAGTACTTTGACCTCCAACCTTTGGACTCAACTCCTCCTGACGATTTTTCCCTGCATAGGCATCTTGTAGATTCAGTAGTTGCCTCTGTCACCTTTAACCCCACTCGTCTAGGTACCCGTGTCGTTGCTGGTCCTTCTCAGGATGGAGCCACGCGCTTGGCCGCCTTATCCTGCGTTGGCGAGACCCCTATTGTGGTCTCAAAGAACGCTCAGTTGAATGCCAGTGTTGGCACTGTTCTCCTCCCACACCATGTTGCGATTGGTGTTAGGGATCTCAAAGACTGCCACGAGGATATCAAGCATATCCTCGAGGCCCAGGGTCATTCTGTCCTCGAGGTGGATACGTTTACTCGTCCCCCTCGTGGTCATCGCCGTCTGCCTCTTCGGGTTGTGAAGGTTACCTTTGATAGTAGGACCCTTCCGGCCTGTCATTCTTGCAGGTGCCAGATGCTCCGTTCAGGAGTACATTCCATCTCCTCGGCTCAGCAGTAAGTGCTGGACGTTTGGGCATGGTGCCGTCAAATGCTCTAGTCCTGTCTCTCTGTCCTGTGTGTGCAGGCGAGGGTCACTCAGTTGGAGTGCACTTCTCCCCAGGCCCGCTGCCTCAATTGCAGTGAGGGCCACCCTACCTTCTCCCGCACGTGTATACGTTACAAACTTGAGGCGGCCGTCCTCAACTTGAAGCACCGGGACCATTTGTCTTTTCCTGAGGCGAGGCGCAAAGTTCGTCTCCCCTCTTTCGCTGGCGTCTTCTATGCTCGCGTGGTGTGCTCTTCCTCTCCTCGTTGTTCCCACCTTCCTCAGTCTCACAACAGTTTCCAAGCCTTAGACCCGGACACGCCCCCCCCCCACCACCACCTCCTCCCCTATTTCCCTCCGTTGTGTCCCGGAGGGTCGCCCTCTTGGTTCTCTGTCTAGGGCTCCCCTTCTTTCTACCCAGTCTGTCATGTCTCCTGTGTCTTGTTTCTCCTCTCCCTCTGGTCCTCGTTTCCGTCATTCTCCTCCGTCTCTCCACGCCGTCTGACTGTGCGGGCTGATGTCCATCGCTCTCCAGGTGGTCGTGTTGTTCGCTCTCGTCCTATTGAGACGCTAGTGTCTGTTACCCAGTACATTGCTGCTGGGACGCTTTATTATGTTTTGACAATTACAATTTTGCCTAATCTGAGGATTTCGATTAAAACTTACTAGAGTGAGGATAAAGCTGGTATTCCCTGTCACGCACGACAGAGGGTCATACATAAGACAATAGGTCTAAACTGTAGGAGGAAGTACATATATATCATGGTTACAATCAATGTTTTAATGTATGGATATGTGAAAACAACTTTCTATTGTGCACTGCCACACAAGGGCTGGGATGGGTTCATAACTTATGCAGCTTAGAAGTAATATAAAATGTTCTTCAATCTTTAAAATGGACAAGCAAATTTAGGATAAATTGTTAGGATGTCGTCCAGAACACCCGAGTGAATAAAATAGTTACACAGTTAAATATTATATATAATATTATATTATAACATAATAAGGATGACAATACCTAAACACAACAGTACATTTCAATTTCTTTATTATGCACCCCATACCCATCCCGTGGGCGGTGGTGTGAAGGATTACAGAGGCACACAATCGGTTCATGAACTGAACCCTCTAGTTCGTTTAGCTAAGAAAATAATGATTGACGCTAGTCACAATTATTATTGTTTTATATACATGTACACACACATGTAAATATATATATATACGTATACATATATAATCACCAACCCAAATACACACAATCTTTTTGTCACAAGTGATCAACAAGAGGCTCAACACTCACTATACAAGGCACTTTACATCCATGGCGAGTCAGTTACTAGTCTTGCTGCACACCCACCCAACTATGCGCCAGCTTTACACTCGTGTGCAGGCTGCACCAACAGTAAGCAAATTTTTGATACTTCACTAAGATTTCGGCCACCACATCATTATGAATGAAATACTTACACATTTCTTGGACACTATGGATGGTGTTCTCTAAATTCAGCTATTTTTTCCACATTACATGATATAATGACGCAAAGTATGCGAATAGTTCTGCTGACAGTACATTTAGTCAAGTCTACATCAGCATTTTGTTAAAGATTCCCTACCCGGAACAAAGTTCCAAGTAACACGGGCTATGCCGAACCCGTACATAGTTTACATCAGATGTTAAACTCCCAGAGGTACTTGTAGCCGAGCCTAAGCCTAGCAGTAGTAACATCTACAAATGAGCGTGAAGCGCGTAACTGTGCCTCCAATCTTCAAACAGATTTGGTTGCCATAATACTTGACACGCTAATTGTAAGCGACTCCTTGTCACCCTTCATTGCCCTCAGCTCCCCAAGGCATAACTCACGTGCTTATCTCTGAAGCTACACAGATAGTGAAATAATCAATGGAGTCAGTGTCTCCTGTGGATTCCTTCCCATATTGGTCTCCGAATGCATGATAGAACTCATGAGTTACCCGAGATGACCACACCACACCACACCCTAGAATGAAGGGACGACGACGTTTCGGTCCGTCCTGGACCATTCTCAAGTCGATTTGAGAATGGTCCAGGACGGACCGAAACGTCGTCGTCCCTTCACATTCTAGTGTGTGGTCTGGTCATCATACTTTAGCAAAGTTATTGTGACTCATCGCCTGCAATTACCCGATACTTTTGCTCATAAAGAGGGAATTGATTACAAACTTTGACTTCCTTTGAGCAGCCTGAGGGCAGCAATATCCTAGGAACATCAACTAAATTTCGGACACTGGAGGCAAAGTGAAATTCACACCAGTTACTCCATCTATCATTCTATTATGCATGAAGAACCGCACGTCTATGGGTCAACCAATAATGTTAGCAGACAAGAGCATAAAGGCATCCGATTCAACATTTTTACTATCTAGGGACATAACCACAAGGAACGCTTGGGCACCAGAACGCGCACATCCTCTAAACATTCAACAACGACATACACGACCCTAAGAGGGACAATGCAATACGGATAATAAGGAACAGGCCGCCACTATATTAAGTGCCAGAGTGTTCAGCGGGGTATGGCCAATACGCATCTTCAACAGAGCCGTTTCCCACCGCCGGTTACTGTGGCAGAAGGAACGCCTTGGGGACACTACCCTTAAGAGCACACAACTTACCAATCACTAAACCCCCACGATTGAGTTATGAATAACTGGGTACCAGTCTGAATAAGGAATACCTTTTTCGATAATTTTGACACGTGGGGATACCTTCTTTAGCGGCACCGGCCGAACACTTTCAAATTTGTATTCGGGTAAATGTGCATACATAGAAGTTACAAAACTTTCGATTGAGAGCTAATACATGCAATACTTAATACGCACAGTTTCGGCATAGGTGGGAAACAAACTTCCTAAATTTTAATAATTTATACTTTT